CAGATAAATTATTCCAAGCTTTAGATGAAGAAACAGCTGCACACGTCGCAATACGCCAAGGAAATAAATGGCTGAAGCCTCAAGAATTAGCTACAGAATGTGATATTTATTTCACGGCCAAAGGAAAATCTTTCGACGAAGTTCGAAATGGAATTAAGCGATCACCGAGATTCCTGGATACAACATGTACACAAGATAAATATATTTCGCCGCACATGAGAAAAGAATATTCAAAACAAGTAGGATTTTACGCGAGAAGAAAGAAATGTTATATTTGTGGAAACTATCAACACATCGCAAGAGATTGCCCAGACAAAAGAAGAAAGAACGAAACTGCAGTAAATAAGAAGGGAAAAGATGATTCCAAAACTCAAAATAATTCAAACAGAACATCAAAGGAAGAGGCCATCGTAGCTAAAGTAGAACCATCTCATCTATGATCCGAATTCGCAGAACGCATCGTTCAACCACTGCAAAAAGTAAACGCTTTTATTAACTCTGAGAAAATCGAAGCTATCGTAGACTCTGGAACGCAAATAACGATCGTACATTCATCGCTCATTCCATATTTAGAGGAGAGAGATGGAGATAAAATATTGCTAACACCTGCTTTCGGACAACCAGTTGAGGCAAAAGTTTGCCGTGTACCTATTTACCATAAAGATCATGGAAGCAGTATATTTAATTTTGTGTATACATTAATTGCAGTGACTGATAAGCTAAATGTGCCTTGCTTAATAACTCTAGAAATACACGAACTGTAGATTAATCCTGCGGCAGAAGAATCAAGCGCAGGAAAAAGTAATTACGGAAGCGAAAACTTACGAAAATTTATTCGCCAATGCACATTCAAACGATAGCGTCGATCCCCCCCGCTAATGCTTATGGAGGAGAAAAACGGAGAGGAGGAAGGGGAGAAGGCGGTGTTTATGTAAACACAGACTTGTCGTCTGCTGAACGCCTACGCGTAGAGCAAGTTAACTGTCCCTCGCTGAGAGAAGCATGGGAGTTAGCTATAGACAAAAAAGGAAATTATTTATTTATTGATCATCTGTTACATCACCAAGAAAAATATTAGGACAGACTGTTTTTCAGTTAGAGCTACCGCTTAGTAGAAGGGTACAAGTGTTGGAATCAGCACATAGTTCCATTTTCGGAGCACATCGTGGAATAAGAAAAACAAAGGAGCGAATACGATATCATTTTTTTTAGCCTGGATTAGCACAAAATGTCGAAACCTTTTGTAAAACATGCAAAGATTGTCAGTTGAAAGGTCCAGAAAAGCGATCTGACAAGATTCTCATCACAACGGTCAGAAGGCCAGGATTACCTTTGGAAACAATTAACATCGACGTTATTGGACCTATTGAACCTCCCTCTGCAAGGAAACATAAATATGTGTAATGTCTGGTAGATCAACATTCCCGATGGCCAGAAGCCATTCCACTGAGAAGCTTGACAGCAAAAGCCACTTGCGACGCGCTTTTGGAGATTTTCATGATAACAGGAATCCCTAATACAATAGCTAGTGACAACGGAAGTAACAACTTTGTTTCAAAATTAATTAAAGAATTCCAGAAAAGACTAGGTTCTCACCCTAGGTTCTTTACACCTGCTTACAGTGCTTCAAATGGATTAGTAGAAAGATGGAACAAGTCCTTCAAGCAAATGTTACATCATGTCATCAGAACTGATCCTTCGAATTGGGATAAGCACATCCCATACCTGCTCTTTGCATATTTGAGATTTTTGAAAATGAAGAAGAATTTGCACAAATTATAACTTTGCCAGGAAAAAAACTGTCGAACGCAGATTCATTATCCAGACTCCCCACCTGTGAACTTTAAGCATTAATTTACTGTTCATCTTCACAAACATTTTCTATAGTTAATGATTAGATAGTTTTTCTTTGCTTTTCTTAATAATTTTACAATTTTGTTCAAATAAGATGTTTGTAATTTGAAATAGATAGAAAAATTATTGGATAACAAATACTCGAGTTAAGTGGTAAATTTAGATATCTGTCTCTCAAGGATATAAATAATCATTAATTAAAGAGAACTTTAAAGAATAAAATTATATATATATATATAAGATTCTAAATAATTTTACTGTCATCATTGGAATAATACTAGGGTATATTTTAACATATTTATAAAAGAAAAATATCAACTTGGTTTCTTTGGGTTAAGAATTGATAAATTGTTACAATAATAATAATAATGTTCGGAACAAGTGAAGTTAAAAATGTGTTATCTATGTTTATATACAGGGGTTGGACAAAAATATGGAAACACCTTTAAAAAACATGTTTCTTTGCTTAATGTGGTGTAGGAAACCCGTTGGCATCCAAAACAGCTTGCAGTCTTCTCGGAATGGATAAATACAGTTTCTGTATGTTTGCCAAGGGAATATTATACCATTCTTCCTGCAAAACGGTGGCAAGTTCAGATAAGGATGTTGGCGGTGGATAACCAGAACGCACTTTCCGTTCCAATGTAGACCACAAAGGTTCGATAATATTCAGGTCTGATGACGGTGGTGGCCAGGGCAGATGGGACAACTCATCCTCGGGCTCAGAAAACCAGTTCTGGACAATGTGAGCTGTGTGAACAGGGGCTTTGTCGTCTTGGAAGACACCATCACCATCAGGGAACAAAGTTTGTACCATGGGATGAACTGGATCGGCCAAAATGTTCACATAAGTCTTGACAGTCATGTGCCCTGACACAATTATCAAGGGGCTAGCAGAGAACCACGATATGGCTGCCCAAGCCATAACAGAACCCCCGCCATGTTTCACTCTTGGCAACAAGCAGTCCGTAGGCTTGAGATGGCGTTCCCCAGACGTAAACTCGGCCAGAAGTGGGAAACAATGTGAAAGAAGACTCGTCAGACCATATTAACCATCACTCGTACTACCATATTACTCGCTTCCACTGCTCTATAGTCCAGGCTTTATGACTTAAATACCACCTTTTTCCTGTTACGACGACGAGCATTAGCATCACTGATGAGTGGCTTCTCAATTGCAGCACGGCCAGCAAATTCCCTGTTTATGAAGCTCCCTTCTAATTGTTTTGGTACTCACAGGGTTCGGTAACACACACATTTCATTTCAGCAGTAACTTTTGCAGCTGTGGTCTTCTTATTTTTCGTCACAATTGCCCTTAATAATCGTCTGTCACGATCACTCAGGACACACTTTCGTCCGCGCTGTGATTTAGCAGATGATGTTTTTCCGCTTTTCAAATATGCTGAATAAATCTTCGATACAGTACCTCTTGAAACACTAAACACCCTCGGCTACCTTGCTTACGGAAGCACCTACCATACGTGCTCCAACCATTTTGCCCCACGTTCGAAGTCTGTTAACTCTGACATAATGCAATGACAACCTCACATAACAGTACTCCGACAACAACTGAACTGTTTAGCACATTTACGAAGTTGTATAGGTGGCGTCAGTAGTCAAAAACGCCAGCGCCACCTACATATTTCATTAAAATCAATCTTTCTTTTCAAACATGCATTTCACAAGGTGTTTCCATATTTTTGTCCATCCACTGTATGTTTATGCAGTAAATTGATGTGCAATTGTAGATATTACATTGCAAATGTCTATAGTAGTTGAAATTTGAAAATTAGGGTAGAAAGTATAAATGTATATGTAGTTTTCTTTTTCCTTTTTTCGTTGATCGCAAACAGTTGCTAGATTTTAGTTTCCAGATTGCTGATTGATTTGTAAATAGTATCAACAACAATCTTAACGACGGGGGTGTGATATCTGGCGACTGTTTGGCGGTCAACAGAGCGTGCTTGGCGCATGTAGCTCTTCTCCAAGAAGGGTTAATATATTTGAAGGGAGTTGCATGTTAGCTTCAGAAGAGGAAGTAGTAGATTGTACTATGGGGTAAGAGCGACGTACTGCTCTGAGTTATTGTCATGCTTTGAACCATGTTTTCAATAAATGTTCGTTTCGTCTTGCTAAATGGTGCCTTATTAAACCACGAAGTCAACACAGCGCTGTCTGAATAATTCTATGGCATTTATTAATGTTTTAAAAAACGTGAAATACTCTATAGTTTTGAATTTTTTTCACATAAGCTTCAGTTAATTATTTTCACATAAATTTAAGACGAATCACCGTCTGAATAATTCTACGACACTTATAATTTTTTAAATCATGAAATGCTCCGTAGTTCCGTTCATTTTCATATAATTATCATAAATTGTGCATTAAAAACCCTCTGAATAAATTCTACGTCACTTGCAGGGGCTCAGTTACTGCATGAATAATAATTATTTTTTATTGCAAATATTTTATATTTTTAATTATTTCGTAAAATTAACGTTTTGTTAATATTCATATTTATATTTCTTTTGTGCTGAATGGCAACAATTAGTTATTCATACTTATACTTACAAATCTCTTACGCTGAGTGGCAACGAGTAATGATTCATGATTACTTTGATTTTCGAATGTTGATTCTTATCTGATTGTTATGCCAGTAGCAGCTCATTTTAATAGTTGAAAAATGAAAAATTAAAACAGTAAACTTAGCCATTGGTTTTTAATTCTTGCTGTTCCTAATTATAATTTAGTTTGAATATCAATAGCCAAGAATACACACTTATGAATTTTTTAACGCATTAAATGCTCTCTAGCTCTGAATTTCTTTTCATACCATCTTCATAAATTTGGTTATGAAGCTTTGTCTGAATAATTCTATGATACTTAACGAATTTTTTTTTAACTTGGAATGCTCTTTAATTCTGAATTGTTTTTCATATAATGCTGGTATTATGTGTAATATAACTAATAATAATAAATCTATTTGTATTTAGCATTTATTTTATGCAGTTTTATTGATACAAATGTATTTTCAGTTCACATAAATTTTAATTAATTACTACAAGAAAACTTCCAAAATAAATAACGTAAGTTAAAATGTTTTCCACAGAAGATCACTTGACTGACGGCAGATTATGAAAGATGGTCGAGGTAACTGAGATAGTTCAAATAGTTTTTGAAAGACTTGGCTACCTCTTTTACATCGTCATCCCATACAGGACGTCATATGAGACTCCAGAGGAAGTGCCCAACTATGCATTTCAAGTAAATAATTCCATTTATGCTATTATTCCAAGTCATTGTTTTCTTGCGTATTCTTGCTTGAAATTTTTAGGTCTTACTAATCTTTAAGTTAAGTCTTACAGATAAATACTGTATACAAAAAATTTTGAAATCAAAATACAAATGCAAATACAAATTGCCATAAATTATTTCAATTTTTTAAAGAAATATCTTTCAGATTTTTCAGCATTAGAGTTTAAAATACTAATGTGATCACTTTTAATGGTTTTAATAATGTCATATAGCATGGTTGGAAACACCAGTAAGCTTTTCGGACCAAGAAATACGAAAACTCAACAATGCTTTCGCCGGTAGTGAAGCCACGGTTCTTCTAGCTAGTGAACGTTTTGGGGAAATTGCAGAATCACCCGCTGCTTGACGCATTTTTAAGAATTGCGCAAACTCGGTATCCATGTACACATCAACCTATTTTCACTTAAAAAGGTCAAAGAAAATTGACAAAAATCCAATTCTTCTTACTCTTGTAAAAAGCGCCGAACAAATAAGTGAGAAATTTTTAAAACTGGAAATCGTTTCAAAACAAAAAACCTAATAACTTTAAAAACTAAAATCGTTTCAAAAACATAGTAAGTTCAAAGAATATAAAATCCTTACAAAAACCTTGAGAAATTAATACATTCACTTCCAAAAAATTTTAAAAATGAAAATCCAGTCCTTACAAAAACATATAATTTTAAAAACTAAAAATCGTTTCAAAAACATAGTGAGTTTCAAACACTTAAAATCGTTACAAAACACTGAAAAATTAAAATACTTTTACTTACCTGAAAAGGGGTAATCCACTCCGCTCAGGCGAAGAACGAAAAGTAATGAATTCTCAAAATGTCCTCGAATTATTGTTTAAAATAACTGCACCTTTATCATCTATTATCGTCTACACTCAGAAATTTAAAATTTTAAAATACATACTGAGCACACGCTAAAATGCTCCGAATTTCGAGCTCAAAGAAATTCTCGACTAAAAATACATACTGAGCATCCGCGAAAATGCTCTGAAAATCACGCTCATCCAGAACGGCAAAATCGACTTGGATACCACATTTGGCGCCCGTATCAATCTCGTAAAAAGCGCCAAACACAACGCGCCAAATAAGTAGGCGATTCTGCACTTTACCCAACTTTTTAGCCATATATATCACGTACTAACGCCATGTGATCTAACGATCATGATTATGCTTTAGATTCGCCTTCACTTGAAGGCTGACGGTACTTAAGTTTTATGGCAATCACTCTAGTAGAATTGGCCTAACTTCCAGAATATGGCAAACTCTGGCAACCGTGCACATGCACATTCTTCAGACAAACATGCTCATAACAATCAAGAAACGTTATCATTTTCGTAAGCGTTCTTTTTATTGTATTCTAAATTCTAATGGTTTTCACAGTCAAGTCATGATTTTTTTTTTTTGTTTTTTTGTTTTTGTTTTTAACTCAATTTTTAAATACCGATAGTGAAATTGGTCAGCAATAAAAAAAACATCTGCAAGAATACTGAATTTTGACGCAAAACTGATTAAAGGAAACAATCATTTGGAGTTTGGTAGCTAGCATCTGCTTAATGCCATGTTTTGTGAAATTCTGTGATATTTTTTAATTGAAAGAGATATCTTTCTTCATGGGGAGAGTAGCAACACTAAAAATTAACGAAGGTTTTATCCAAAGATATAAGTGTTTTATTTTTTCATGTAGCATTTTATCCATACATAATAATTAGGATTTGTATTTTTTAATATTTAAAATGATTTTTCTTTTAATATGTTGTTAATGTTTGCTGATTGCGATAAATATCTATAGTTTGGAAATGTTTAAAAAAAATCGCAAAAATTGCAAGTTTGCACCCCATAAGTAAGTAATTTTTATCTTTTTACCTGTAAAAGACCATCACATTGCTGCAAGGGGCTTGCATTATTACGTAAGTACCAGGTCAACTCGGTCGCGACAAGAAAATCAATCGATCAACCCAGATGGGGATAAATTATCGCCATCACATTTTAGTTCAGAAAACACAGTTGACTGACTGTATTCACTTTTAAACAGTGAAAATTAAACTAAGCCTTTGCCTAGAATTCGAGGTACAAACTTCCAGTTACTAATTGGATGTACTATCCTAAATGATGTACTATACTAAAAAATAAGAAGTAAGGTTTGACCTATTCTTTCAAGCATGAAATTAGCCGATAATGGTGAAATACAATTCAATAGATTTCAAATCGATTAGCAATAAAATGTAATTTAAAATTGACTTGAAGACAAAATTCTTTCACGCAGATTCACTTAAAACTAAGATACAGCAATAGCCTTGCGTAGCCTGGCTAATCGGTCTAACATTTACCCAGACTATTTAAAATCAGACTAACTAAAAAACTAAATGCATACAGAAAAGGATAATAGGTTTAAAAAAATATTTTTCCCCCTTCCTGTTTTTCAATAAATAAAACGAAATTTAAACATTCAAATTTCTTTATTATGGATATTTTTTTTAAAAAAAAGCATATTTATCGTAATTTCATTGCCTAGAAATTTCAAGATCGATGTCTGCAGATTTTTCTTTGCCTTTTCACTTTAGGTCATTTCTCTGTAGCAAATAACAGTATCGTTCAGCTTTAAAATAGTCTATCGTTCAGCTACTCAGACTACTCGTACTTTATCGTTCAGCTTTAAAATATATTCCTATTACATGCTGTGACAAAATTTCAATCATCCCAGTAAATGTTTATAGCTGTTCGGCTTTAACCTTTTAACTGTCATGCCCGAGATAATCTCGGGCACAACACTGGTGTTCGAAAATGTCACGCCCGAGTATTTCTCGGGGTAATTTTTTTTTTTTTTTTTTGAGTGCATCGTATTGTCATACCCGAATATATATCGGGAGATGTTTATTTCGGCTACATTTGGTTTTTCCAATAAAAAAATTTGACAATTTGTGTACCCAAATCATCAAAGTAACTTGACAGTTAAAGGGTTAATAGCGCAATAATGATAGTTATTCAACAAAGATACAATAACATGATAATAATGATAGTTGTTCGACATTCTTTAATTCCCACAAACAGCTGCTGGAGTTCAAGAACGAGGCCTTAGCGTAGGTACACACATAAAAAACAGGGAACGCAGAAAAAAACTGAAATACGCATTCTATCGCATAACTTTAAAATCTTACAAAAAGACTACATAATGAAAGAAAAATCGATCACTTGTGCATTAAAATTTGTTTTGTGTACTATTTTCTTAGAATTTATTTTTACTTTATTAAAAAATTAAAATTTAATTTGATTTGAAATTTCGGTACTACTCTTATATGCGCCCTCAGGCCGCCAAGTGTGACGATATGTGTTCTGCGCTGGTTTTTGGTGCGATTGCGTGTTCTGGGATGGTTTTGGGGACGATGTTGTTTGTATGGCAACCCTTTTGACATTGAAACTTACTCTTTCACTGCAGTGATTTTATTTGCTCGTTGGTTCGTGTCGTGCGCGTTTTGAAACGGAATGTTTCAATGAAAGACTTGGTGGGAAAAATTTCAGTCGTGTATTTTAGATTGTGTGCAAAGTAAATTTAGTACTAAAAGGTACGATGTTGGAGTGTTAACAAGTCTTTTGTTCACGGGTGTGTTTATGCGGATCGAAGTGTATTTTTGGAATTTCTGTGGGATTCAGGACTTCTGAAGCGGAGTTTGGCGTGTCCGAAATGTGGAGCTGATACGAGAAGTCGTACGAAGAAGGGCTTTTCTGATAGACTTGTGTGGGCTTGCAGGCAAATGGTTGCTGCTAAAGTATGTGGTTGTCAGCGGAGTTTAAGATTTGGATCGTGATTTCCGTGTAGTAAGTTCACTTTGGGGGAAGTTTTTATCGTTACCTTCGGAATTTGGAATCGCAGAAAGACCGTGTGATATTGCAAAATCGTTGCATTTTTGTTCACAGACGTTGTTTGACTGGCGAAATTTTATTCACGAATGTAGGCTGATTTTGTATGCTCTTGATATTTCTGCTGTTCGAAGAAGTATTCATTATGGTAAATGAATTTTATTTTATTGTTTTTATTTTGCAGAATGTTATGTTACTTGTTCTTTTAGTATGAATTTCTGTCGTTATTGTTGTTTTTTGAATTTGTTTGTAATTTATTTTATTTATTTTGTTGATTAGTGCTCAATGCCTAGATTGTGCCATTCGTAGACTTTTTTTAAGTTTAAACAGAACCCTGTGTACATGGATTCTTGTCAAATATTTTTGGTTTGAAACTTTACGTTTTTTGGTATTTAATTATTATTTTTTTTTTCGAATTTTTAAGCAATAAGTTTGCAATTTATTTGAGAATATTTAAACAATAATTTTTAGATTAAATTGTGCGTTCAAAACGCGGTTTTTGCAGGTGCTTAAACCGCGTTTTTCGAGACGTTTTAGGCTTAAAGTTCGAAATGTAGACAAAAAGTTAGATAGTAATATGGCACCGTGGAGTTTCTCGCCAAGCGAGGGCGTATATAAGAGTAGTTCAGAAATTTTTAATTCGAACAAAAGTGAATGCAGTCTATCTGAAGTATTAATTACAGTACATAGATTTGTAAAGCCCTTCCTTCTTTTCTGATGTTTATAAACAGTAATGATTTTTTTTTCAGCTAGGAGGAAATTTCTTTTATTGAAATATTGCTTAAAAGGACAGTAAACAAAGGCAAAGCTTCCAAAGTTATTTTTAACGGACGGTAACTAAATTTTAAATTGATAAAAGGAAACTTTATGCCACGCATTTTAAAAATTATTTCACAGATACGTGTGAGAACTTTTAATTATTATTTAAAAATGAAACGAAATATCCAGCCGTACGCGTATGGCAAATCAATACAGTTTTGGTTATTTGACTCACTGTCATATTTGATGTTCCTATTTGAAACACCGAAATTACATTCAGTATTAGTAAGTAGTTAAAGGTATAAAGATATTGGAAGTAATAAAAAGGAATGATGGTGCAAA